CTGAGAGGACACTAAAGGTCACTGATGAAGAAGATGTACAAGAAGATGCTGAATCTCTCCCTTTGCAACTCTTCCAAAGGACATCATCTCCTCATCAGGTAACCAATTTTCATTTCCATAGCTCTTCAACCCCTACCCTTCCGGATGAGATACCGGAAATCTGGACAAAGAAGGTCCAAGGGCTGATTGAATCAGCCCTAGCATCTCAACATGCCTCCTTTAGGCAAGAGATAGAGCTAATGGAAGCCAAACACACTCAGCTGATAGAGAAATCTGAAGAGAAACACAGCGCTGATCTCAAGGAGATAAGTAAATCAGTAGAAAAGACTCTAGAGATCATCTCTCTATTGAGTAAAACTGTGAGCAATACGATGGAAATATACACCTCTGACAGTCAACTGCAATTCAATGAATTCAACAAAGTCAAGGAGCAAATAGCAAATGTCACAGTTGGTCTACAAAAACAGATGTCCCTTCTCCAAATGGACATCAGATCAGCCCTAGCAATAGCTTCAGCAAATCAGGTAGTAACCAAAGATTACTTGAAGGTGATCATTGACAATCAAAAGGAAGCATACAAGCTGTTCAGACTTATTGGTGCACATACTGGGAACCGCAAGATGGAAGTAATTCTCCAACAACACAATCCATCTCCAATACCACAGCTCCCAATTGCAGTCAACGAAGGAGAAGCATCTTATATCCCTTCTCATCTGAACATGACAAATTTAATCCTTGAAGCACAGCAAAGAAATCCGGAAAACTCAGCACAGCACCTATCCAGCTCAGGACTGGATGGAACAGAATTCATAGGTGCAGTTGCTGACCACTTCTCAGATGCTACTCAATCAGAAGAAAGGCGTGAAAACTTAAAGCGCATCAAAGAACTGTGTGGGAACATGCAGGGCATCAGTGAGGTTGCCGGATCTTCAAAACGCAAAAGGAACTGAAGGTTCTTTTCATCAAACCAGGGGGAAAGTATGTGAAAACACCAATTTGTTTTGATGAAAACACCTTCCTGCTTAAGCATTGCTTGATTGGTTTAAACATTGCAACACTACTTCAACAAATTTTAATTGCACTTATTATGCTTGATTATGTTTATCTCAAGTATGATTTTGTCTTAATTAATTTTTCTGAAGTGCATACATTCAGGGGGAATGTAATTCAGGGGGAACTTACCTAGTTTTGGCTAACAATTGTTTTTGGCTATGAATTTTTGATGAGCTCTAAGCAATGGAAGTCAGATATCTCAGTTTTGGTACTAAAATTGGAAATCTCCGATTCAGGTACTTTACAAAATCTGCCTTCTTAAACTAAGATTTAATCTTTAATTCATTTCCAACTAGCTTTAAAAGTACTGGTCCTTAGGATCTTTATAATGTACAGGACTTTGGAAAAATAGTACCACTTTTCTTTTAAAAATAAATAAAAATTCATATTTGTTTTGGTACTACCTCGTCCTAAGTAGAAATTAGAACTATAGGGAATGAAAAATGATAGTTTTATTTTGGGCCTTGAGAACCCAATAGGAATAATTTCCCTGTAGTACATAGCTTTCTTTTCTTTTTGGGCCACTCTTTTGGGCTTAGCCAAACTAAAACAGTTACGTTTCTCAAACCAAATGAAACTGGTTTTCAAATTGGAACAGTTTCAATCCATTGGTAACTGGTAAAAGATTCCTTTTACTTTTCAACTTCTTGGAAGTTGAAACTCCTTTACTCTCACCGTTCCAACTACCCACTTAATGGAACCCGTGAACCTCCTCCTCCCCTATTTAAATCAAGATATGCCAATCCATTTCCATCACAAACAACTCTCAAAATAAGAAAGTTTTCAAGTTCACTGTCTGAGAAAAACACCAAGAAAATATCCTCAATGGAGAAATTTCTCTTTCTCACCCTCATAGACGGCAATGGAGAAAAGCCTAGTGAGAAAGGAAAGTAATTCAAAGTTTATGGTGCAATTCTCGGCAGTAGAGAAAGTTTATGGTGTAATTCTCGTATTTTTCAG